CGAGTTCTTGGACACGTGTATACGTTTTGCCCTTACGTGAAATTCAATCTTGAATTTGTATCTTAACGTCTGTAACTAAATGCCTTTTCTTGCTAACTTTAGTTTCTTGTTTGATATGATTATATGTATTTCTCTGCTTTCGCTACATTTCAATTCCAAGATGAAATCAACCGTGAATGTGTTACGATCTATAGCGATCTATAGATGACAGTTATGCTACACTTGGTAATGTACTGTAAATCGACGATGACGAAAGCAAGCCAGAGTCAATCGTTGTTTTTTTGACATATCGTAAAGATCTCGTTACTTACTTGGTATTCGATTGATCGCACGTAACGGTCTTAATACCCTTATCGTTCGGATGGCTGACAGATTCATATTTTCCACGTTTAGGCAGTATTCCAAAGCGCTACAACCAAATCAACTTTCAACTTCTTTAACATATTTATTTTACAAATTACAAAAGTCTTATTATAAATCAAAGTCTTATTATAATTTAATAAATAAAAAGTAATTTCACTTGATAATAATTGATGTAATTATCAATATTAAGATGTAATTATCAATAAGTCATTATTAATAAAAATTTGTCTTTAATTTTATATTATTTATCACGATTTATTTCGCGAAGATTCTCTTAGATTTTAGACAAAAGCCTTGTAAAAAGATAATTTAAATTAGAAAATGTAGTCAAGTGTCTAAATGAAGTACTTACCCAGCCGCCACTATAAAGAAGTCTAATCTATTCCAAGAATCCGCGAGATAAGTTCCTTTACCATAAATTCCCATTGCCACCATCTTTATGGTCATCTCCAGGGAGAAGAAGGCAAAAATGATATCATCGAACATCTGGAAGAAATAGACAGGAGAGTACAGCTTGATTAGAACAGGGTATGGTCGACGATGGTAATTTGCCGTGATTGATTTAGGGCACTCTACTAGGAGATTCGATTAACGGCTGTGCCATGTCGATAATTTTCTCATCTCTTTTCCATCCCTTCTCCTCCCCCTCCTCCTTCTTCTCTTCCTCCTCCTCTTCGCTAGACTAATTGCGAGCCAGCCGGAAACCATGTCAAGATGCGCAATCGATTAATTCGCTTATCGGCGCGCCGTGTAATCGTTGCCTTCACGCGAAAATTCTCCGTAAGTCGGCTTAATTGAATTGTAAATATTCCTATTCCGATATCGGACTTTCCTCCCTGGCATGCGGACATGCAAATACGAGACTCGGGATCACGGAAAGAGCCGTTCTTATGGAAATGATTCTCACTCCAATAAGCTCGATACGCTACACTTCGCTCTCACAAACCCAACCGTGATAAAGCGGATTACTCCTCGATTCTTATATTTCTTCTTTCTTTTCCAGCCGGTTACTGCGAGACGTGAGTACGTACCTGCAATATTTTACATCGATTCGTTACGCACTGGTCGTCCACGCATGGTTGGTACATCCCGAGCGTGATGCAGTTCAGAAGAATCACCATCATGCTCACCCTTTCGAACCACGTGAGTCTTTGTTAAGGAAAAAGATAGCTGGATATTTTTTAATCCCTTCTGATTAAAGGTAACAGAGTAAATGGGCTACACGTTGCTGCCATTCAATCAACATAAAAAAATCTTTAAATATACAAGATATAAAAAAATAAATGATATATTAGAAATCTTATACATGATAACACATTAAAAAAGTTCTTCCTGATTCGTTCGCTATATCTAAAAATTTTTCGATTTTTCTCCTTGTAAATAAATAATTTTCATTAATATACATGTAATTCCCTTGCGATTGTTTACATAAAAATTATGTGATTAATATTGGACTATTGTAAATAGATATTTATCATCTATTAGTAATAAAAGTAAGCGTTACTTTAATAAACTTAAAAATAAATTACAGCAAATTTCTATATTTGTCAAATAATCCTGATTGTTAAGAACATAATCATTAATGATGATTAGTGCTCTGTCAATAATTGACAGAGCACTAATCTTACTCTGGCTTTTTTCTGACATCGATCGATAAAAGTCAGATTGCTATAATCGGCACACTGATTGTCGTTGCCGAGTGACTATCTTTTAAACATCGTGTTTCCTTTCAGTACATTTTAATATGTTCATTTAACAAGCTGACAAGCTGCGTGATTATTTCTAATCGCGTGCCTCTAATCTCTGCGCGCGGAAAAAAAGTGTAGATGAGTACATATGAATAAAATATCACTGTTCGATCATCGTTACGTTTATGATTTGTTCAATCGTTTACTTTTTTTCAACGTCACGAAGCACATATGTATCGATATATTTTGAAATTTGATATAAGATCAAATCGGAATCGATAATCAAGATGTGTGTGCGAGTGATGCAATGAGTTTCCAATAGTAAAATTAGCAGCTATCAGTTTTCGGTAGTTACAGCTTTAATAGGATTGTGATATGTGAGTATCAAATGAGATTATTAATTACACGTAAATATTGTTTTAATCTCTAAATACTAAACAGTCAATACGTTAAATATAAATTTTATATACACATATATCACAAATTTCGCATGAAAACATATCAATTTTAAAAATATCGAACGATGCATTTTAAAGTTCTTGATTTTATTATTTAAAGATAAATTGGATTGTTTCATTTAAAGATATACATATTGTCATAATCAAAGATCTCTTCTGTTTATTATGCAAAGAAAAATATTTTTAATTGTCCATTCTATTTTTACTATCATTTTACACGACAGAACTTTCTTAAGAACTTAACATTTTATCATGATATTCTTTTAATGCGGAGATAAGTCGAGTGCCTGACGCGCGGGAATAAGAAACCCAGACATCGATTTTCATGTAGACCTGATTCAAATTCTACTCTTAGCTTGCAGGGCTATGTTATACGGCGTCGCGGTGTTCATCAGCGTCGCGTGCAAACGACTATTCGTATGCTAGCTGGCCGGCTACTGACATCGAGTAACACGCGAGGCCGATGCCCTTCTCGAAAGGTTAAAAGTAAGGAGCGCCATTAAGATAAGAATTGCCGCAATCTTTTATTTCGACTGGAATTCTTTTCAGCGCTACTTGTTGCGCTCAATTAATTATAGGCCACGGAGATGATCCGCATCTTCGAATCGATCGAGACGCCTGAAAAATGAAATCGCGAGACTTTCGAAAATAAGCGGACCATGGTGTGACATTTGAACTTGAACTCGTCTATCTTCATAAATGACCTTCGTTACTTTTTATAGTATCCGGGCGATAAATGGTCCGACTGAGCGCACGGGAAATTGGGTAGACTAAAAATAAATCGATCACTACTTATCACGCAAACGGAGCGTCTCGTACATCTCGACGTTAGATGGATTTTTTAAGATACATTTCGTGGTTTTCTAATCAGAGATTAGGGAGTAATCAGCCTAATGAAAGCGACAAAAGTGACATACGACGATTCGTTTGCTCGTAAATCAATCTGCCATTAGGCTCTTTAAAACATTTCCATTTAATTTCCAGACATTTCATTAAGGATCTGAAATCAAAAAGCTCGCGTATCATGGAGACTCGGAAGACTTTTGAAAAAACGAAATCATCTCATCTAGATAATTTAAAGTAAATTATATAAAATGTAAAAAATTTAATTAAACGTATGATAATCTCTGATCATATACAATAGCCAATGTTAAAATAACACTTTTTTACAATTTTGCCGTTTCACAGAACACATCACTTTTACGCTAAATAACGTGCTTCTCCAGACAACGTAGACGTATCTAAAAGAGCTTATTAAAGCATCTACGATTCGACATGTTAATATTATAAAAGATTTCTTTATTTTTTTTGAATGTCAGTTAGACGTCTTTATAAGTTTTGTGTTACAAATCGGTATTTCGAAAGCGTGCGCTCTTCGACCCGAATTAAACGCGAAGTCGTACAATCTACGCAGCTTACACCGAACGCGTGATAGATTGCCGTACGATCGCAAAAGCCCGCGAAGCGACGGTGTATCATAATAGCGATCTATCACGCCGACACGATCTTGCGTGCCAAGCGCCGATATCGACGAGCGTTTGTACAAGCGGCTCTTAGCCTCCCCATGTGCTTATACAGACGGCTGCGAGCACCTGTAACGTCTCATCTTCGGCGAGGAATGAGGGCAACGGAGAGTGGCAGGGAGAATCAAGCATTAAAAAGCAGCACGTCGGTGATTTTGACGAGCAGATCGCTAGAAACCTTCTGCGTTATCTGCTTTCCACAAACGTGCTTGGAGTGTGTTCGATCAATAAACGGTTGGCCTCCACTGAGCTCTCTCTCTCTCTCTCTCTCTCTCTCTCTCTCTCTCTCTCCTCTCTTTCCAGCTTGTAGCTCGCGCATCTTGGCGAACATCGCCAAATGCAAAAGAGACGATTGATGATAGACATTCGTACATTCCTCGCAATGATGAATACCCTTTATTAAGATTGAGGATTTACATTCCCGGAAGCTGAAGCAAAATACCTAAAAGTGGATCTGAATCGTAGATATTTCAAAATAAAAAAAAAAAAATACGTAGAATCTCAAAAGAAGAATAAATTTCTATTATTCTCATTACTTTTTATTTTACTGTTTCTATCTGTTATTTTGGCTTAATAGCAGAAATAATTAAAATGAGAATAAAATCTTATTCAAATATTTTATTATCGACTTTGATTACTGATTCTGAAACAATTTCAAATAATCATAGAAACAATTTTTAACGCGTTAATTACAAAGTAAATTTTATTTATAATCAAACTGCTATATTAGATATAATGAGAAATCTTTGATATAAGTATAATCTTTTCGTGAATACAAACTTGTATATGCGTGGTAGTTGCATTTGTATATACGTCAACGTGACACGTCAGTATTATATCACCGATGACCTCATGACACTCAACATTATTAAAGCTGTATAATTAACGTAGAAGCATAAAGGATAATATCTGCATAATTATTAAAGTCATATAATTAACGCAGACAAAGGGATGATATCTGCGTATATCGAAATGATTCTTTTAGCAAACGCTCCAGTTCACATACAATAGATTCCGCATCGGTGTGCACGAGTGGCACGTCGTTGGACAGGTGTATCCGCTCAAGTAGAAAACGGCTGAATGTATGAGGGGCTTTGCGCGCTGAACCTATCGTGTTGTTGTTGTTGCTGTTAACTTTCATCCCCTTACGAGGTATGTGCTCTTATTGCCAAACCTGCCCTGCTAGGTTAATCATTTACAATTGTTACGTGAAGGAAAGACAAACGACTGCATCCCTCAAAAATTAAAGTCACCGTATTCAACGTATTGTGATGAAAGTTTTTAATAAATAAATTAAATAACGTAATTGTATATTTCTTTTACAAAATTATTATTATTATTACTGTTATAATTTTTATATAAATTTATTTGCTTATTTGAACATAATTAGATATCATTCTATATTAAATAACTATAATTTGATCATTTGATCTCAGAAACAAATTTATCTTCGTGTATCATTAATTTTTAATATGTTTGTCCTATAAGAAAATATTCGTAATTGTTATCCTTGTAAACTTATAGATACTTTATATATATTTTTGATAAAATTAAATTTTTTTATCTTAATATATAATTCTAATATATTAGCATAATATAATCTTAATTTATTATTCTCTTAGATTATATATCAGTATATTAATATGTCAAAAAAATGTAATAAGTAAAATCTCACTAGAATTTTCTAACTTATTACATTGCCATCACATTAATGTAATAAGTTAGAAAAAGAGAGAAAAAGTAATTTTCATTTTTCCGTATATCAAGCACTCTGTCATTATTATTCATTGACCCGATTGCTCTTTACTCGTAGGAAATAATGTAATGAAAAAAGAATACATATCTATGTTGAAAAACAAGAAAGTATCGTACATTTTGCTAAAATGCAGACATAGATAGCAGAGTAAATAATAATAACGGCAAAGAAATGGAAAAAACAATGGAAAAGACAGAATTACATCAACTTTATTCCCTATTGTATACAACGTGTCCCAGAAGCATTAAATGTTTTCCCAGAATACATTTTTCCTATAGAATGAGAAATTTAGAATCTTTTTTGTATGAAAAGAAGAAAGAAAGCTCTCTAAGATGCATCTATATGTCACTGTGATTTAAAATTTTTGATATCTTCAATATATGCTTAAAATGCTTAAAATTTACAAATTAAAAGTTTTTCAGAATAAAATTCGATTAAAGTCAAATAGAAAAGAAGATTAACTACTAATCATATACTTTTTACATTTTTAATTAATCAAAATTTAATATTAATTACACTATTACTTAATATTATAATATTGTCGATATCTCGCCATTAAAGCAACTGCCCTTTTTCATAAAATGTTCTCAGCCTCTATGGTTGAAAGGGCATCCGGTGGTACTTGGTACATGCAATCGATGTTCAGTCAACAGAATGTTTGATATGAAGGAACGAGAAGAAGCCGCGATTAGAGTATTAGGGACGTCGATCTACGAAACCCTTTCCGGATTCGTCGTTCACGCCGAGATCGATTCAACGAAGTCGACGCTGCCTGGAGAGACCTAAATCATCGCGAAAATCCTTCGTCAAGGGACGTCTTTCCTACTCTCTCGTAACGCGTCCCAAGTCGTTTCGACAGCTGTTACTAAAGAAGGTTCAACCACAATTTGTCGTGGTCGTTTGAAACGACAAAAACCAGGAGATGGAATATACATGCAATTTGTCAGATTTTCCTTTTTCCCTGTATTATTACGATCGGACGGAAATAATAATAGGACTTCCAGACAAAGCGCGCGTCGCTTCGTCCGCGGAAAATCAAACAAAAAAGCGGCCGCATTTCACGCTCGAATTATTGCATCGATCACCTCGAAGCTGACGACTCGATTTCGCGAGTTTTCGCTTATGAATCTTAGATGAAATAAATTTTTGAAAAACAATTGTACAAGAACAAGAACGCAATTTCTTTAAAATTATTTTAATTAATAATTTACTTAAAGCTATTAAGTAATAATTAAAATTTATTATAGAAAATACTCCAAAAAATTCCAAAGTTCCAAAAAATTTAGATTTAATATCATAAAATTAATAAAAAAGATTTTTAATAGAGATAATAGAGACTTTTAGTGAATATAAAATATCATTCAGTATCTAATCATTTTTCTTTTTTAATTATTTGCATTGTATAAACCATTAAATTTTAAGGAGCGAAAGAAGTTTTAAATCTCTATTTCCACTTCTATTTTCTAAATGACTGTATTTTCCAAAAAACGAGAGAATATACTCTCTCTACTCACAAGAACAGACTGCGTTTCATACAGTCGTGTTGAATTCAGCCGTGACGGAACTATTTTCACGCTTGGATATTCCAAGAACAAGGAACGAGACGGGCATTCCTCATTTCCGGAATGAGTAATTAAATT